GTTGTCTACTAACAGGCCCTAATGAAGGGATTGATTAATATGTCTTTTAGACCTAAAAATATCCTAAACAATCTTGTATCGATTAATAGAAAGATTCAGCCCTTTTTTCCAATTAATAACATCAAATTCTCTAACAAACTATCAGCACCATTTCCATAAATAATACCTGACTGATGTCATTAGCTCTTTGGCTGTCCATTTCAAGCTACCCAACCAATGGCACCAGAACTGTCTTCCTTTCTAGTGCTTTCTACTTTTGGAATTTTTATTTTTTTTCTAGTCTTCCACCTAGGAATATAAACTATTTATATTGTTGAAGATGAAAAAGAAACCAAACATTTTGAATTTAAAAAGGAAAATTAAAAACCTTTTGAAAAGATTTAACCCAAATTATGAGTATAAAAGTGAAAATAAAGTTGAATGATTGCCAAGTGAATTAAAAAACAAAATAAAAACTTGAATTTATACTGAATCAAATAGAAAAAAATTCAACAAAACTTGAATTCATTAAGCTTTGCCTATTTCTTCTACTCAAACAAGACAGATAACTTTTTTGTGCAAGTAAAGAAACTTTACAAGTTGAATAACTAGCTTTCAAAAGTTATTGTTAGAACTTGTGGTTTGGAAAAACATGAGAAATTGAGGAAAGGCTTCAAGGCGTATAACAGTATCACATTTCTTAATGTTTTATTTGCCTCCACCACTTGATTGATTGGTATACAAAAGAGTTATTAGCTATAAACCTCAAAAATACATGAAGCCCAATGATTGACTATGTTTTGTATGGATGAAATCAATCCATCGAGCATTTAGTAGCATACAATAACACTATTATTCTTTTATAAAAAATTTTTGTAGCAAAATTTTATGGAAGTAACTAAAATTTATTTGAACAATAGAAAGAGAATTTAACATAAATTGCTATATTTAAAAAATGTTCTATTTACCAAAATAAAAAATCTATTTAAATAAAATAAACATCTCTTTGTATGGACATGATTATCTAAACAGATGTATATCTGTATAGACATAATAGTTCAAATATGTTTTTATTTAGACATACACAAATTTTCAAACACAACTCTTAATAAATAATCATGTCTTTTAAAAAAACATAACTTTGTACCATCACATGTACTTCATGTAATATATTATTATTGAAAATGTTCCAACAATCCCCCATCATTTTCGAAATAATCTAGATTTATAATAATCTTAAAAATCAATTGCATAAATGAAGGTATCTTATGATTTGAACCTTTACTTAGTGAAAAAAAGTTAAAATTAACCGAAATTACATGGTAGACTATATTTGAACCAATTATTCTATTTGGTTAACTGAACTCATCTCACATAATGATTTGAATACCCAATGAATATTCGATATTCGAGGACACTATTTTAGCCATGTGTCTACATTCTTTTTTCATGAGTGCTATTAGAATCAAGCCTTTGAACTCCTAAGTAATAGCCACATTTCACACTCATATAGGTAGTTCCCATCAAGAGTGTTTTTGTAACTAAACACTCTAACATATTTATGCTATGGGTCTATTAAGAGTATAACCTCATCATTCTTTTATCATTAAGGGTACCAAGCACTTTACTTGGGATGAAAAGATTATAGTGCTTGTAGTCACATAGAAATGGTGTGTTATGACTCGTTGAACTCAAGACTTGACATTATACCAAGCATTGAGTCAAGTTTTCATCATGGGTAACTTCATATTATAGGCTTGAACCTTATCCCTAAATTTCCAACATAGCTATGTTAATTTTTCATACCATATGGTGAAATTTTAACATTCATATTTTATATCTTGTAGGTTCATAAGACCAACACCCTCTACCTTGTATGTATATCCATTATTTAAAGAATGTTATATCCTTAGTAATTCGACTATTAAAGATATCCATTGAATACTTGTCATAAATTCTTTTAGTTCATAATGATCATTTTATCTTTATTTTGGTCATAATGGTTTCACTTTTGTCCATTTATATATTTCTTGCCTAAGAAATTAATACCATTGCCACCAAATGTGTGAACCATACATCATATAGTCTTTTTTACCAAGTAAATTATCGTAAAGAGGGCTCAAATCCCTTGGTGAAATAAGATAATCTTTTTGCTATTTTTTTTTTCACAGCTTCTTATTATATCAATTTAAGACTTAAAATTTATTTTATATGTATACTTAAACAACATAATTTTTTGTCAATAAATTACATTTATACATAAGGGTGTTTCACATATCCTTTTAAAAAGTAATTAATATTAGATGATCATCATTAGGCTATCAAGTGACTATCAAAATATATATGCACCATTTCTCATGGACATTATTAGTCATTTTATTTCCATGACCAATATCATGTCCACCATCCAAATGGATCAAATAGCATTTTTCTTATTATTTTAAAAGTTTTCATTGTGTATGTATGTGTATATATCCCATTTTGGCTTATGATTTTTCTAAACCAATCATAATTATCCACATAATACCTATAAATCTCATAGATTTGTTTATAGAGGCAATATCCTTTATATTGATGGCTTTTAGTAAAAACCAACTGCCTCAAATGATATCCATGATTTTCCAATGACATCACATGGACATGCACATATTAATTGGTCAATGGTCAATTTCAAGTTGATGACTATTGAAAGTCACAAACTTGATTTCAATATTTGAGAGAATTTTATAAATTCTCCACCATTATGAAAGCTAAGTATATATATCTACCATTTACCACTTTTAGTTGGCCAAAATAGACAAAGTAATTGAAATTCATTTAAAAAATTTACTTAACTAATAAGTATGATCTTATCAAAAAGTAAAAATGCTAACCCCTTTAAGGTTATTAATCATATTTCATGCAAAGACTTGTAACAAATTTGCAATGGTTAAAACACAAATTGGTTAAATCCAAAGCTTACAACTTTCGCAAGCCAACATTATTATGTAAGCCCACATGTTAATCGTATATAACCAAGTCACACCCTTACTATGAAGGTACAAAAATCCATTATGATGCATGCACATTCTTTTCAGTTTCATGTATATAAACATATATCTTAATAATTTAAAACTGGAATTCATTGAAAATCTTTAATCTTTTATGGCAAACCATGCCATGTTCCCGATGGTATTACAAATTGGAACTTAACTCCCATCTTTTTCTATGAAACGTAGTTGCATTTTGCATTATTACTATATTTCTTTTCAAATAGTTTAACTTCAACCAACTTGAACTCATTGTGGCAAAAATAGCCATCGTTTAGAACCCACTTGAACTAATTGTGGCAAAGATTACCATCTTTTGGCACATGTCTAATAATTTTTAATGATGGCACCAATTAATTGTTTAGGGAGAAAATTTGCCATTGATGCGTGTGATGTTATCCACTAGACAAAATTTAATGCATGAAAATTTATTAATATAAAACATACCTTATACCTTATGCTTTTTACGAGAATACAATTATTTCAAAAGAATTAATGTGAATCCTTAAACAAAACAAGCCTGATCCGACCTTGGGGTATGAATTTCCAGTGATTAATCATGATTCTGTCCCTATCTATCACGTACAGCCTTGATAAAAAATTTTCATAAAATTACAAAAATAAAATCTTAAGATTGTTAAAACTTGAGGTTTGGAAAAATATGAAAAATTAAGAAAAGGGTTCAAGATATGTAATGATGTTACTTTTATTAAGGCTTTATTTATCCTTGTCATTTAATTAATTGGTATACAAAAAAATTACTAGCAATAAATTTCAAAGATATAATGAAATCTAATAATTGACTGCATTTTGTATCGATGAAATCAATTGATTGAGCATTAACTGACGTGTAACAAAGCTATCATTCTTCTATAAAAAAATTTCTACTGCAAAACTTAATGAGTAATCTAAAATTTATTTGAACAATGGAAGGATAATTTAACATAAATTATTGTATTTGAAAATTTTTATTTATTTATCAAAATCAGAGATCTATTTATAATAAATAGATATCTCTTTATACATACATAACTAACTAAATAGATATATATTTGTACAAACATAACAATTCAAATATGCATCTATTTAAACTTATACGATTTTTCAAATACAACTTTTAACAAATAATCATGTCTTTTAAACTTTACATCATCACATGTAATTCATGTAATATATTATTATTGAAAATATTTCGATAGTTATTGGTCTCAATTTTGTAACATGGTGATTTAAATGCCGAAGAGTCTAAAAGCATTTGCAATGGCAGTATCCCTAGCTAGTATAATTCTTCTAGCTCAATTGGTGAAAAAAAAAGTTACCCATGTTAACATTTTAATTCAAAGAAAAGTTTAAGTAGTTGTAAATAATTGATTAAGAATTTAATTAATTGAAATAAAAAATAATAATTTATATGATAAATTTAATTAAGTATGGAGGCGTCTTTTATATTTAAACGTAATTTAATCAACCAATATAACATTTATTGAAATTTGTTTAGACAAAATAAATTAAAATATTTCCAATCATATATATTTATGGATCCAATCTAATCAAATTGATTTTTTAAAATTTTTATCTAAGATTCGATCGGACCCAAGCCTTTTGAAACTTTTATATCGAGTCAGGCCAAATGTATAATCCAAACAGTAGATAGACCTATATTCAATAACTTGCGGAAATATTTATTCATATGTTGAATTTATGACAGTAAAAGAAAATTGTTGACCTCTGCAAATTCTTTTCTATTAAGTGTTTCTTCTATGTTAGGTAGTACTGAATTAATGGCATTTGCTTTCTTCATCTGCTCTAAATCTGCGTTTTATCTCTAGTTTCAACAAAAACTAACCAGATTACCGCATATTCCTTCGTTAATGGGAAACATTGCCAAATCACCGCATATTCCTTCACTAGCATGACTCATGAAAACAATAAACACAGTAAGTGGAGCAGATTGCAGTTGAATATATTCGCTCTTCGCAAGCACCGCAAGAAGATATTTTAACTATTACTTCATGAAACTATATATTAATTGGTGAAATTCTTTTCACACTAAAAAAAGTTATTGCAAATAATATTGCATGATGATGTAAATGGATGGTACTTTTACATGAGACAGCAGGCATTGACATTGTCATCGTTGAACATGTTGCTGACCTTGTCATCTCCACGATGGGTTACTGGAATGTTGCCATGCCTCTGTCCGAGGTTGTAGCCATGCCTGTAATAGTTGTAACTCTCTTTGAACTCGTTTGTTGTGTCTTTAAAGTATTCGTTGGCAGAGGTGAAGTACAGAGGAGGATTCGGGTAGGGCCAGAATTCAGCCCTCCTTCCAGCCCTCCTCACTTGTTTCAGCACCTTGTTGCGATCAACGTACCCGATCACGGTTACCTTTTCCATTTCTAGGTTCACTTCCACTGAATCAATCCCTAACACACCATTTATTGAACGATTCAAAATCTAATAATGAATCTTTTAAAGAAAATTTGGTAGGTTCGTCTATGTATACATAGAATCTGAAACAGAAGCAAAGCATACGGGTGTAAACAGTGATCGGACAAGAATCAGTCCAAGTATTGGGTACAAGGTGGGAAGATTTCTAAAGAAATGACAATATACCTCTAAGCTTGTAAATGGCGTTTTTGACTACCCTCTCGCAACCAGTGCAGCACATCCTGACTTTGAGGTCCACAGTCTGTAAAGAGAGAGATCAAGTAGTTTAAAAAACAATTCATCTAGTGGATATACAAGAGACCCAGCTTTGTTTTCCCCTGTTTCCTTAGCAATTGGAGATGGAAAACCATAGCGAAAGGCGAAGGCAAACAATTAAGATACCTAGATGAATTTTTTAAAAAACAAAATATACTTTGGGGAATGAAAGGGAAACCTGCAAAGAAAGTGGTCGACCCTTAGGCATGTTGTAGTAATTGATGTTGTTGACGCTTTTTTTGTTGTCTTGGTAGCCAAAGAAACAGTATGCGATGGCAGATATAATAGAGCCAAATGCTCTGGCAATTAAGGTAGCCATAGAAACAAGTCTGTTCAAGTATATAAAGAGAAGGAAAAGGAAAAACCGATGAAGACAATCCTAGCCCCAGAAGATATTCCTCTATTGCATTTGCATTGCGCCCCTTAAATTCTAATCTTTTGGTAATATATTCCAAAGTAATCCGATACTATTCAAAAGATGAACCATTTCTTATGCTTACATCCATTGGACTCTGGCCCGGGTTCATAGTTCACACGTATATATGAAAATTATAATAAACCCTTTTGGGAGGGAATGGTATCAAAGGCTCATGTTAATGCTCGAAATGTGGGTCATGCTAACATGACTGCTGACACATTCAGAAGGGAATATGAATATCAGCTGATTTAGGATGTGGATGGGCTTCAATAAGGAAAAATGGGCTTTTATGCGAAGGGAACATATATTCCAAAAATCTTGTCTTTCCACCATCTTTTGAAAATCAGAATACAACATACATGCAGCAATATTAATCTATAAAGCCTAGTAAAGTTTTATTCGCCGCACATTGTAATTTTAGTTTAAGCCTTACAAGCTATAGATGTTTTATATTTTTATACAACCCTAGAGAAAAGAGAACCTTTGCTCTTTGTAGTACTATTGCCTATTGGAAGTTATAAGAATATCAGCTGAGGGTTTTTTTTTTTTTTGGGATACATAGGAGGCCGTAACTTTGAATAAGGAAATGAGTTATAAATGCTGAGATTCAAATCCCAAATCTACTTAATGCAAATTTTTAAAGGTGATTGTGTGAATCAACTAAGTTAAGCTCTAAGCTCATCATTAGCTGATGATTTTAATAATAAGCTAAGACATAGAGAACAAATGCAATGTTATTCCACACAACAAAATACTAACCTTTTAGGGTCATATTTATTCTTCCAGCATTTACAGCCCAACCAAAACAGAGCTGCCCAAAAAAGATAGGACTTAGGAGAAATGATTTGCTCAATACAGTGTATCTTTTTGCTCAATTTACAAAACTACTTATTTTGATCACAGATTTGTGAATTACTCCTTCAGCCTTAACTATGATTTCCAAGTGGACATATCGATTTTATCTAAAAAAACAGAGCTACTTGTATTTTATGAGCGGTGCTAGTCCTACCCTGTGGTTGGTAGAGACTTTTAAAATAAAATATGGGAAATAATCTCACATTGGAAAAGAAAAAATAAACATAAATATTTAAGTCTGCTCAAAACAGATAGATAAGTCTATTCAAAATGAACAGTTTCAAATGTTCAAAAATAGATAATTTTTATTTATTCAAAACAAACAATCATGTTTATAGGAAATGATACTTATCTGTTTATAAAAGGCTTATCTGATTTTCTAAAAACATATAGAAACAATTATTGGAACCCTCCATCTTTTTTTAAACTCTAGATTTCTTTTATAAAAGTTTTGCTGCAAAAAATCTATATAATAGTTTAGTGATCATATGATAGGCCGATGATTACTGATAGATTGATTTCATCAGTGTAAAATGTAGTCAACTAATGGGTTTCATTGTATCCTTAAAGTTTATTGCCTATAACCTTTTTACACACTTACTAAGTAAATAATACAGTGATGGCAAATAAAACCATGACATGCTTTGGAGCCTTTTCTTAAAATTTCAAATTTACCAGAAGCAATAATTCTAGATTTTCAATGTTTTCTATTAACAATCTTAAAGTTTTTATTCGATTCAACAATGGCTACCGAAGCCACGTTTAAAGAATTGGCTTTTAGTTTTATCAAATTGGATCATTTTGATGGTGACAATTTTTGAAAATGGCAAAAGAATATGTATTTTCTACTTTCAACCTTAAAAGTTTATATATATTCTGATTACTCCCAGGCCAGAAGAAAATAAAATAGAAGAATCTGTTATTACAATAAGAGAGAGGTAGAAATGGGATAATGTAGACTACATGTGTAAAAGTTATATTTTGAATAGTCCATCTGACAACATGTTTGATACATAACAAAACAAGGTTACTGTAAAGTAGTTATGAGACAAATTGGAGACCAGGTATATGATATGGAACAAGTAAGAAATTTCACGTTAGTCATTTCAATAATTATCAAATGATTGATAGATGTTCTGTGATTGAACAACTACGTGAAATTAAAAGAATGCTTAATCAGTTTAAACAATATAATATGAGTATAGATGAAACAATTATTGTGTCCTCTATTATAAAAAAAACTTCTTCTATCATAGAAAAACTTTAAAAGAAGTCTGAAACATAAAAAAAAAAATCACTTTTGACACTTTAGTTAATCATCTTCAAATTAAAGAGGAATATAGAAAGTAAAAACAAAATTCCAGCTATGGTGATGCCAAAGTTCATGTTTTGGAGGAAAAATATACTGCAAAGCTTGACAAAAAAAAGTTCAAGTTCAAGTAGATTGCTATGGCCTAAATTCAAGAAGAATAAGAAAGGTTCATGTCACCATTGTGGTAAGCCAGGACATTTTCAAGAAAGAATGTCGGTTGCTATAGAAGAAAAATGATTCCTCAAAAAGAGGTACATCTAAAAATTTTGTTGTCATGATTTTTGAGATCAACATGCTTGAAAATGATAAATCTTGATGGGTTGGTTCTAAGGTAACAAAACATATGTGCAAAAAAAGCATGTTTACAACACTCAAACTAAGTGAATATGGCAGTGTCCTCTACATGGAAAATTCTTTTACAACAACAAAGGTGAAGGGATTATTGACCTTGAATTTATTTTTGGAAAAACTCTAACTTTGAATGATGTTTATTATGTACTAGAAGTTAAGAAGAACTTAGTGTTTGAAAGTTTGTTAAACAAGTTTGGTTTTAAACTTGTATTTAAGGCAAATAAATTTATTCTGTCTAAGTGAGAAATTTTTGTGAGGAAAAAGTATATGTATGAGGTAATGTTCAAACTCAATATTATTAATAAAAATAAGAATGTTGCTTCTGCTTACATAGTTGAATCTTCATATTTATGGCTTTATAGATTAGGTCATTTAAATTATAAAAAATTATTGGGATTTACCTTGAATCTCAGAATCCCACATCGAAAGTTAAGTGAGTTTGAGTTTGTCTTGTATCCCACATCGGGAGTTTAGTAAAGGTATAAAGGGTTTTACCCTTATAAATAAGATGTTTTAGTTTTAGTTTAGTAACCCCAGAGAGTTAGACACCAATAGAATAGCTAAGTGAGTAGGCTATTAAAGGGTGTAATTGGGTTTTGGGTTAAGTTTTGAGTAAGGAGTTTTAGGAGACTTTTCTCATTCTAAAATTCTCACAGTTGTAAAGATTTATTTGTTAGTGGATTGTGTTTGGAGTAGGCCATTTTGAGTTAGGCCAAACTAAATATATTTATGTGTTCTTATTCTTGATTTGAGCTTGCTATTTTGTATGTGGTTGCTGCGCGTGGGTGTTGTTTTTCCCAACAAGTGGTATCAGAGCGAGGTTCGAAGTTTAAGGTTCGTGGGTCCAAGAGATCGTGAAGCAGTATTTGAAGATGTCTGAAGAAAGTATGTCTGGTATGTCTATGCCTAAGTTTGAGATTCCATTATTTGATGGAAAGAGTAATTTTATGTTATGGCAAAGTATGATTCAAGATCTGTTAGTACAACAAGGGTTGGATCAAGCATTAGAGAGTAGTAAGCCTGAGGGAATGTCTAATGCTAATTGGAATAGGATTCAGAAGAAGGCTGTTAGTACTATTAGATTGGCATTAGCTCCAGAAGTAAAATACAGTGTGTTGACTGAGAGTACTCCGAAGAGTTTGTGGGATAAGTTTGAAGGTATTTATGCTTCGAAGTCGTTGACTAATAGATTATGTTTGAAGATGGATCTGTATTCTCTGAAGATGAAAGAAGGTATGAGTCTTCATAATCACTTGAATGAGTTTAATAGATTGGTTTCTCAATTGCTAGCGATATCTGTTGATGAGTTAAAAGATGAAGAGAAGGCTTTAATTTTGTTGTCATCTTTGCCCAAGTCTTATAAGCCTTTAGTTCAGACTGTGTTGGTAGGCAGGTCTACTTTGAAGTTGGATGATGTGACTGCCCTATTGCGTGAGAATGAAAGGTTTATGGGAGCTCAAAACTCATCACCTGGGGGGAGTACACTAGCTGTAGAGGGTTTTGATCGAGGGAGGACTCAAAAGAAGATTGATGGATCAAGATGAAGATCTAAGCCAAGAGACAGAGATTACAGTGATGTAGAATGTTATTATTGTGGTGAGAAGGGACATATCCAAGTGCGCCGTAGAAAGCTGAGAAGGGATATGGCTACTTTCAAAAGAGCAAATGATGAGAAGAAATTAGATGAAAAAAAGAGTGATATTGCTGCTGTCTTGTCTGATAATGATGATGTTGTTTTGACAACTTGTGTGGATGAGACCCAGACTTTGAAAAGTGATAAAGATTGGGTTTTAGATTCAGCTGCTACAGTTCATGTTTGCAATGATAAGAGCTACTTTGTGGAGTTGAATGAAAATGAAAGGTATGGGGATATTGTGGTTGCTAACAAAGAAAAGGTACAGATTCAAGGCATTGGGAGTGTTCGCCTTAGATCTCACAATGGTGTTATTAGGACACTTCATCATGTAAGGTATGTACCAAATTGTCACTACAATTTGATTGCTTTAGGTGAGTTAGCTTCTCGGGGGTACACATTTTATGGTAGTAATGATTGGTTGAAAGTGTATAAGAATGATAGTGTGATCCTACAAGGGAATAGGGTCAATCACTTGTACATGTTTGATGGAGGCTCAGTTGCTGGAATGCCTGTGATGAAAGAAAAGAAGAAAGGTAAGCATGTTAGTTTTGCAGATACTGTTGAAGTGTTTGGAGATTCAAGTCAATAGAAGATTTGTTGGGATTTGCCTTGAATCTCAGAATCTCACATCGAAAGTTAAGTGAGTTTGAGTTTGTCTTGTATCCCACATCGGGAGTTTAGTAAAGGTATAAAGGGTTTTACCCTTATAAATAAGATGTTTTAGTTTTAGTTTAGTAACCCCAGAGAGTTAGACACCAATAGAATAGCTAAGTGAGTAGGCTATTAAAGGGTGTAATTGGGTTTTG